CGCCAAAATTGATGATGGTCAAAATTGATGGTCAAAATTGATGATGCCAAAATTGACAGTAAAAATTGATGATGGTCAAAATTGATGGTCAAAATTGATGACACCAAAATTGACAATGGTCAAAATTGATGATGGTCAAAATTGACAATGCCAAAATTGATGGTCAAAATTGACAACAGCCAAAATTGATGATGCCAAAATTGTCAGTCAAAATTGACAACACCAAAATTGACAGTAAAAATTGATGACACCAAAATTGACAATGCCAAAATTGTCAGTCAAAATTGACAGTAAAAATTGACAATGGTCAAAATTGATGGTCAAAATTGACAACACCAAAATTGACAATGGTCAAAATTGACAACAGTCAAAATTGACAACACCAAAATTGTCAGTCAAAATTGACAACGCCAAAATTGATGATGGCCAAAATTGATGATGGTCAAAATTGACAGTCAAAACTGATGGCAAACATTTGGAGTCACTTTCCCTGCTGCATCAAGAAAATTAAGAAAGATAAACAAGCACAAAATCTTGAAATTAGAATGAATTTTCATCTCTGCATTAGCTATTGGTTTTTGAATTTCACTGTTGGTGCTGCACTACCAGAATTGATATGGCTGAAGTAGCTGCCCTTCATGATTCTCTTGTGCCCATCTCTCCCATTCCAGCTGTGCATGTTGATGTATCCATTCAAATTCTCTATCAACAACCCACATAAGTAACTCAGCTCTTGAGAGGGTCTGTCTTATGGTCACCAGCTCTTGATCTTCTTCTTCAGTCATGGGCATTCCATCCTCTGAGTTCTCATCAGAGTCAATGTCATAGATATCTGGGATTGACTGGATGCTGGCCACCTCTGGAGACACTTCTAGTGTCTTTTCTCTTCTCACCTTCTGCCATTGGTCCATCATTGCCTGCACAAAAGACCATTTCAAGTGGAAGAGAGTGGTTGAACCAGGAAGTTGGTGCTTGAAGTGGCATCTGTTCCCCCAGAAATAATAAAGGTACTCTGTCTTATATTCATTCTGTCTCCATTTCCTGAAGCTGGCTTTAAAGAACCAGCACAGTGTTTTCTTTTGATATCTCAGATACTGCTTGATTGCAGCTGAGTGCTTGTCTTTAGTGAGTGGCCAGACTAAGGCCATCACAACAAAATAGATGGGGGAATGACACAGTGGGCAACATCCTCTGTTTTTCAGTGGGTTGTTGCCTGGTATCCAGGGCAATCCATTCTTGTCCTGTTCTCAAATGGTTGTGATGCACTCTGTGGGCCTCCATCAGCATCAGTATTATAACAAGCACATCACTAAACAGAGCCTCTTACCTGGACAAATGCAATGGATGCAGTTTGATAGTACTGGAAAGATTGTGGGTATTGTTGTCTCTCTGCAGACAGGACACTCATATATGTGGTCTAGCTCTGTGCTCCAGTCAGCTACAATCAAGAAAATTGCTGTAGGATAGAACTCTTGAGCCCATATTTTTGCTACACTCATCCTGCAGGGCACATCTCTTTTCTGCTGGAACATGTCCAAACCAGCATTTTGTTTCTTGAATGTAGTTTCCCCTCAGCCAGAACTTGCAGTGGACTATCTCTTTTTTAATTTCACTTGGAGTGTCACCCCCAGATGCTTGTGTTGACAGGCTGTGCTGGAACTTGCAGCAATCACTAAGCTGGCATTTTCCATGAATCCAGTATCTGCAGCTCATACTGCTCGGCTGTGCTGTCTGGACAGGCAGGCACTTAGTGAGGCAATGAAAATGTGATAGAAGGTGGATTGGCAGTGGTTGGCAAGATATCATGGGGCAGGCCTTGGATGGCTTTTTGATGTGTAGAATTGAGGACAGACTGAGGAGCAAAAACAATAACAAGTCACCAATCACAGCAAATGGCATTCACCATGAGAGTTCAATATGATTACAGGGTCAGGAGAATCCTGTAATGTTTACATTCACTTCACATCAACACTTCACTTCAGGCTTTGCTTCTCACCCACAACATTTCTGATTCTGACAACCTTCTCAACCACAATTGCATTGACTTTGAAACCTCTTGGTTGTCCCTTCCAGTATTCAATAGCTGCATTGTAAGTTCAGCATCACCCACTTAAGCATTATAAGGCATCAAGATCAGGACTGACTGAACATCTGAAGATACTGAATCACTGTCAAGAACCATCATGAGAGATTGAGCAGTCATCCAGCATCAAGAATCACATGTCATAAAGTCAAGATCCTGCTTCATTTTGGAAAGATAGTGAAATTCAAAAAGATTTGCTGTACTACTGCCTGATTTCTGCATGACATCAGATCAAGAAACACTGACATGATATTTCTTCCAGTACAACATGATAACAATGAATGAGACTCATGTCAAAGCCATGCTTGACTTGACAGCAGAGAAGCTACTTAATCTGAAAAAGATCATGCAAGAGCTTCATGACAAGAAGATCCAGAGCCTTCTCCATCAAGCAGTAGCTAAGAGAGCGCTGAAGGAGAGCCAGATTACTGTAGTGGAGCATATTATTTCTCAAGAGAGCTTTGACAACAGGGTTCTGCAGGCCTGGAAGAGTGAGTCTAACTGTGAGAATGTCTGTGGGGCACTTGTGTAGCTTATTGTGCAGGTTCAGTATCAGAAAACAAGGCAACAGCAGTATGGCATCCAGCAAGATTCATTTCCCAAGCCTGCAAGCCCCTAGATTTCCTCATCAACATCTGTTCAGCAGCCATTGTTGGCTACAGCTGTCTCCAGACTAACATCTTCCCTCTCTGCACCCAAGTTCTCTGAGACCTGTTCCATTATATTAAGCACTCTGTGGTATGTGCCAGGTTTGGTCAAGCCTCTGACACCAGCAGCCAAAGAACTCTACCAAGTCATTATCTTTACCAGAAATACAGTCTCTGGCTGTATATTAGTCTGCCAGGTTAACAAATTGCTGTCACATCACATGTTAGACAGGCAGGGAACACTCTCTAAGAAGAATTAGACAGAGTGGTAAAGTATTCTGACTACTGATTGTAAATTTCATTGCAACTCTCAGATCATCAAGAGCCTGGATGAGCAGGTCACCATCATCAACAAGCAACTGTGGCAATTGGTGTACATGATGCAGCTGGAGGAGATTCTGAGCAAAGAAACAGATGAATCTCTGACTCTCAACTTTGTGATCACCACCTGGGATCTGGAGTCCACCCATATCTGTGAAATTTAAAAAAGATAAATTGCATCAGTCATCAGCTTCAATAATGATGGGAACATGTCTGAAGATTGAGAGACAGAGTTCTTAGATGATGATGGGCACCATAATATGCCTGCAACCTGCCAATACCAGATTATTATACACTTACCATCTCCTGCATTCACACTGTCTTTCTCTTGTCCCCTCTCTCAACACAATCAAGACAGCCCCCAGGACAGCATGTGTATGGACATAACCATTGATGAGCTGCATTGTGACTGTAAGAATGACTTCAATAGAATTGATAGCATGGCTAGCCATCCAGACACTCCAATGAACTTGAATACTGTAATAGATTCACCAAATCCAGGTACTGTCTTCACTGCCTTTACTGAAGCTCAGGATTCTCAAGATAGCCCAATCCAGCCAGTTTCAAGAACAACATCAGCATCAATCAAGGACAGTGAAATTCAAAATGAATACTCACCAGCTTCACCCAGTGAAATTCAAAAAAAGGGCCCACCAACTCTACTCTGTGAAATTCAACAAGAAATTGATAGCATGGCCAACCACCCAGACACTCCAATGGACTTGAACATCATAATAGATTCACCAAATCCAGGTGCTGTCCCCACTGCCTCCACTGAAGCCCAGGATTCTCAAGATGACTCAATTCAGGTCAGAGATGACCATGAATGTGACTCCACACCTGCACATATTGTGGTTGAGCAGCTGATTTCAAGAACAACATCAGCACTAATCAAGAACAGTGAAATTCAAAATAAATACCTGCCAGCTTCACCCAGTGAAATTTAAAAAGAGGGCTCACCAACTCTACTCTGTAAAATTCAACAAGAGCACTGCTTTCCAGATGTTGAGATAATTAATGATGACAACACTTTACTCTTGGACACAGATTATGAGTTTCTTGATGAGATGACATAACTGGAATCTGAGTTACAAACCAGTAACAAGAGCAACACTGAGCAAGTTGATCCAGCAGAACTTATCAAGTCTGGCAGATTTTAATGTGAGCAGATGGACAGCCAAACATAACAGAATTTCACCAGTTTCTTCATGCTTCTGCAGAATGAAAATGACAGTACAGATTCAATCAGAAAGATTCTTATTTATGACATGCTGTAAGATACTCCACCTCACCAGCTTTACTGTGCATTCTGGATGCTTCTCAAGAATCAAGAGTTAGAGCAAGATGGATTCATTGCTGACAAGATGGGAATTGGCAAAATCATGAAGATGATATTATACTTTGTCCTGAGTGCCTGAATCATCTACAACTGCCTGCACATCAAACAATGCCATAAGAATTCTGTAATGGCCAACAAACACCTCCCTGTGGTCATGAACACAGAAGAAGAACACAAGAGTTCAAAGCAGCATCATCTAAGATATTTCTCTCAGAATATGTTTCCCATTCTGTGTGGCTGTGTTCTGAATGGGATGACTGTATGCTGTCTGAGTCAATTACTGCAAGATGCAATGCTGGTGGTAGTGCTTAAAGATCTTCTTCTCTCTTGAGTGAGAGAGTGAGCCAACTCTATTTCCTGTAACTCAGAGAACTATCTGAAACTGAATCTCTTCATTAGCCATGAAGACTTAACTCCCACAAAGATTAGCAACTTAGGCCACACATTCATACAGATCATACAGTACACAATGCTGAGACAACATGATCTGGGTCTCCAGCAGAATTATTAGCACATGTTTCTGATCACATCAGGCTTGCTCTCCAGCTGTATGATGATACCCCTCTGTAACATTCAGAAACAAGATGCCCAGCAATCATGATGGTGAGCCATGATTCAAGATGAATGCCACCAGAAGAAGGGCTTTGACAGCAAGATCATCAGGCAGTTTCAAGAGATCAATGCAGTCACAGAGAAGCAAGACTATGCTCCAGTCACCTGGCTGCTCTCTGGAACACTGTATGATAAAGAATCAACAGACATGCTCTTCTGGATGATGATACTGGCCTCTAACAAATGGGGTAATGACACCAGACTGCAATTTGCTAAACCTGATCAATGAAAGACTCTCTTAGCTAGAGTGCAGCTACTGATCAGCAAGAAGCAGCTGTCCAGAACAGAACAGATCAAGTTCTGGTCAGCAGCACACCAGTTTGATCAGATACTTGAGTATCTGATAATCCACTACACCACTGAGACAAGTTGGTTTGACAAACCCATCATAAAGCTGCCCTGCAACCACCATCATGATGTTCTCTGCAGTCTAGAGCCCAAGGTCAGAAACAAGCTCCAGCAGTGTGAGCAGCATGAAATTCAAAAACTAAAAGACAGCTACATGAGAAGCCTACAGAAATGGAAGAAGCACAGTCAAGAATCTAAATCTGAGCTTTCCAGCCAGATCTTTTTCAAGAAGTTGTGCATAAACTAGATTATTGCCATCTTTCCAGCCCTTCTGGACCTCATGAAGACCAAGCAACATGAGCTCAAGCTCACTAACAAGAAGATGATGAAGAATGAATGACATGCTGGTGGGGACAAGAAGGCACTGTACATTCATGCAGTTGATACTCTGGCCAATTCCAGCTTCAAGTGTTGTGTGATTCAACACATCCTGCAGGGCATGGGGAGAGACTATTGTAGGTGTCCAGAGAAGATTGTTATTCTGACAGAATTCCCCTGTACAATTTATATGCTTGAGATGGTAGGTTACTGCATCCCCTTTTCTTGTGTTTTCTTCTCCAGCTAACTTTTCATACAGTAGCTGCAGAAGCAAGACTACTGTGTTGCAGCAGTCTATAGCAGTATAAGTGTTGAGAACCAAGACATGTGCATCAACACCTTCAATCAGAATCTGTCACTGTCTGGAGATGAGACTGATGCCAGTCCAGGTGTCCTGATCAGCACTCTAGAGATTCTAGATATAGACTACATCTGTATTTGTGCCTTCCAACTTATCCTGCTGAGCCCAAGCTGGTTGGAGAGGAATGAGGCCCAGGGCAAGGCACACATTCACCACTATGGGCAGATGAACAAGGCCATGTACACCTACCACCTGGTGTACAGAGATGTCCAGGTCAAAAGTAATATTCTTGACTGGCAGGCAATGCAGAAGAGTTTCAATAAACTGGCAATGTTGCTGCAGAAAGAGGCTGGTATAGTTCAAGACATGATTAATCTGGATACAGTATGAGGCCTGGCATGGCTGCATGGCTGTAAAATTTAAAAAGAAACACCCAAGGACCATGCAGCACTTCTGTCAAGATGCCTGGATATTATTAGAGATATATGGAACAACCATGACTATTTGTTCTAGATGATTCATTCTGCAGAGTTGAATAGATCAGTAGTTAGATCTAATCAAAGCAATTTCAGCTGAAAGCCATCCATCATATCTCCCATCATAGTTGTGTTGATGCTGAATACTCAGTGGTTGGATGTGTCAATAAGTCTTTAGTCTGATGATGGTGCAACCAGCTAATATTAGTACTCTACTAAATTTGTGCCAGCATATCCTCTGATGCCATTAACCATTGGTATGGTGCCCATGGCCTTTCATCCAAGGAGGAGAATCCTCTCACCCAGAGATGTGTATAATGTATCATGACATGCCAATGCTGAGTCTTTTTTTCCAGCCTGGAGCTTGAGACACTGCTGAAGCTCCACAGTTTTTGAGCATGATGTGGCAGAATATCTGAACATGTTTGATTTGGATTGCTTATGGTGATACTGGCTCTTCCTGATCAATTCTAACCACTAACATTGGCCACCAACAACAGCTAACACCAATATCAACCAGAACACAGTTCCTCCAAAGAATGAGGCTGCAGACTATTGGCTGTGAGTGTTGAGCACCAATTTCTATCATCAATTTTCATTGTTGTCAATTTTGACTGCTGGTTTTCAATGAGCTGAACCTGTTGTGGATGCACAAGATGTGTTTTAACTATTGAGTTTGGCTGTCAAGTTTCACTGTTGTCAGTTGTGGCCACTGATTTTGACCATCATCAATTGTGGCTGCCATCAATTTTGACTGTCAATTTTTACTGTTGTCAATTTTGACCATCAATTTTGACCATCAATTTTTACCATCATCAATTTTTACTGTCAATTTTTATCATCATCAATTTTGACTGTCAATTTTTACTGTCAATTTTGGCATCATCAATTTTGACCACCGTGACCAATTTTGGCTGGTGTCAATTTTGGTGTTGTCAATCTTGGCATCATCAATTTTGACCGTCAATTTTTACTGTCAATTTTGGCGTTGTCAATTTTGACCACCATGACCAATTTTGGCTGGCGTCAATTTTGGTGTTGTCAATTTTGACTGTCAATTTTGGTGTTGTCAATTTTGGCGTTGTCAATTTTGACTGTCGTCAATTTTTACTGTCAATTTTTACCATCATCAATTTTCACTGTCAATTTTGGCTGTTGTCAATTTTGACCATCAATTTTGGTGTTGTCAATTTTGACTGTCAATTTTGGCGTTGTCAATTTTTACCGTCGTCAATTTTTACTGTCAATTTTGGCATTGTCAATTTTGGCATTGTCAATTTTGACTGTCAATTTTTACTGTTGTCAATTTTGACTGTCAATTTTGAGTGTCAATTTTGACTGTCAATTTTTACTGTCAATTTTTACCATCATCAATTTTTACTGTCAATTTTGGTGTTGTCAATTTTGACCGTCAATTTTTACTGTTGTCAATTTTGACTGTCAATTTTTACTGTCAATTTTGACTGTCAATTTTTACTGTCGTCAATTTTTACTGTCAATTTTTACCGTCAATTTTTACTGTCAATTTTTACTGTCAATTTTGACTGTCAATTTTTACTGTCAATTTTTACCATTGTCAATTTTGGTGTCGTCAATTTTTACTGTCAATTTTTACTGTTGTCAATTTTGGCTGTCAATTTTAGCCGTCAATTTTGACTGTCAATTTTGGCGTCGTCAATTTTTACTGTTGTCAATTTTTACCGTCATCAATTTTTACTGTTGTCAATTTTTACTGTCAATTTTGGTGTCATCAATTTTGACTGTCAATTTTTACTGTCAATTTTTACTGTCAATTTTTACTGTCAATTTTGACTGTCAATTTTTACTGTCAATTTTTACTGTCAATTTTTACCATCATCAATTTTTACTGTCAATTTTGGTGTTGTCAATTTTGACCGTCAATTTTTACTGTTGTCAATTTTGACTGTCAATTTTTACTGTCAATTTTGACTGTCAATTTTTACTGTTGTCAATTTTTACTGTCAATTTTTACCGTCAATTTTTACTGTCAATTTTTACTGTCAATTTTGACTGTCAATTTTTACTGTCAATTTTTACCATTGTCAATTTTGGTGTCGTCAATTTTTACTGTCAATTTTTACTGTTGTCAATTTTGGCTGTCAATTTTAGCCGTCAATTTTGACTGTCAATTTTGGCGTCGTCAATTTTTACTGTTGTCAATTTTTACCGTCATCAATTTTTACTGTTGTCAATTTTTACTGTCAATTTTGGTGTCATCAATTTTGACTGTCAATTTTTACTGTCAATTTTTACTGTCATCAATTTTTACTGTCAATTTTTACCATCATCAATTTTCACTGTCAATTTTGACCATCATCTTTGGCATCATCAATTTTGGCGTTGTCAATTTTTACCATCATCAATTTTGACTATCAATTTTTACTGTCAATTTTGACTGTCATTAATTTTCACTGTCAATTTTGGTGTCATCAATTTTGGCTGTTGTCCATTTTTACTGTCAATTTTGACCATCAATTCTGGCCATCAATTTTGGCCATTGTCAATTTTGACTGCTGGTTTTCATCTGCAAATATTGACTGCAAGATAGATTCTCTGAATTGGGTGACAGAAGTCTGGGTTTTATCATTTGCATGTCTTCTCTTCTATAAATCTGTTCTCTTCAGCTTTTCTTGTATTATCTTGAATCTGCTACAGTATCTTCTTTTACTCTTATTCTGATGTTTTCAGCATGATATTTCCTGCTACTGTGACTTGCTAATGGATGCATATAATTCAAGCCAGAATTGCCAAATTTTATGCAGCATGTCCAGCAGTGGCTTCACAGGCAAAGTATCTGATCAGCTTGGAACAACTATTTCCCTAAGTCAGCTCAATAGGCTGCTTCTCTTCTGCTGTACTGCATATGAAACCTTTCCCCAACCATCTTATTGGGTCCATAACACTTGTCCAACCATGCTAGAGTGCCTGGAAGCTATTCTCATTCTTGTTGTCTTAGCCACTCTTGTGCAATTGATTTCAGGTGCTGGTCACCTAGATGAATCTGACAGTAGTCATCCAGTACTGAATCATCTCTCCTGTGATCAAATATTAGTTTACAAGATCAGACTGCCCCATACAGAAGGCCACTGTATATCTTATAAGGCCAATCTTTATATTTCACATCCAATTCTTAAGATCCACCTGTGTATGGTTCTACAGCCTGAGCTCAGGCATATTCTTGTCCAGCTCTTTAATTAAAGCTCAGTTGTTGCTGTGCCTCTCTCACAGCTGCACCAGCCTTGTGATCTCTTCAGCAGACCATCTTGTTCAGATGTATGGCCATCTGCAATGCCTGCTTCTGTGATTTGCTCTTCTTTCTACCATCTTCTTCACACACCTGATCTTCCTCTGCTGTCTACAAAGCAAGTGTTCTCTTGAGCCTCTCTGTACTGAGTTGTTAATATGATCCCATCCATCCAGATTCACATCCAGGTCTGAAGTCAATGTCAAGTATGCTGTCAATGAATCAATTGTGCTTGATTGTTGATAATGATTTCTGGAATAGCTGGTGTCAGCATCAGAAGAGTTGTCAGTCAAGCAGAAGAACTGTTCTCATGTCTCTTGCTCTCTCTCTGGTGTCTGAATTAATGTTAACACTTGAGAGCTGCTGAGCAAGAGTCTTGATTGTTTCTGAAAGCAGCTGTCCTCCAAGACTGGGCTCTGGCTCAATCTAGATGCTTTTTCTTTTCTATTCTCTGGACAGATCACCTCTGAGTGCCTGTTGCTTGTCTGATATAAAATGGAATTCTTAGAAGCCAAAACCTCTTCTGGTGTTACTGATCAAGAGCTAGATAGTCATTGGTTCTGGCTTTTCAGATTGGGCTTGCTGTTGTATGATGTACATGCAGGAACACTCATGGGACTTGAAAATGGCATAATCTTATTGGAAGGAGTGGTTTGAGCAAGACCTTTATCCAGAATCACCTGTTAATGAATGGTATATACAGGACCATAAGATTCAGGGCTGCCACTCACTATCTAGAGGCATGTTGCTTGACAGAAAACTGTTCAACAGTGAGCATCAACTGCTTCCTGCCATCACTAATGGCAGGGACTGGAGCTGATTTGATGTTCTTCTTGCTTTTCTTCTTTGAAGTACAGTAAAAGTACTGGAGAGGTGTAGCTCTGTCTCTGTGCTGAAAGATCACAGCCAGATGCTGGAATATCTCTGAGCTATTATGGTCAATAATAATCTGTTCAACAACTGGAAGAACAGGAAAGAGAAGAGAAGGAACCTGGATGAAGCCTCAGACTATCAAAGAGATAATCTGAGATGGTTGTGATAAAGTAATGAAGAAAACAGAGCTTTATTTTGTAGACTTAAAGTTGACAGAAGAAAGAGGCTGACATTTTTAATAAATTTATAGACTTGAGATGATCAGAAGAGTAGCATTTCTGATCTATTACAAATGTTCATTTCATCCAGTAAGCCAAGCCAAAATCTCACCATCTCAAGACTCTGGCTCAGACACTTCAGGTTCAATATTATTCCAGCACATCCTCTGCAATTTCTTCATACAGCAAGCACATTGGTCAAAATCACTCCAGTCAGCATGGGCCATGAACAGCCATGCAAGTATGCAACTGAGAGGAACACAGTTCAGACACAAGTGCAAGCATATTAAAGATAACAACAGCAGCAGCAAGCAGTCACATCAGCAAGCACATTAATATTGTTCCAGAATACCTTCTTGATCTGCAATCTCTGAAGCTGGACTGATCTTTTCCAGCCTGTTGAGGATTTGCTCTATGTGTTTGTAAATCTACAGAAAGTTCTTGATATGGTGCCTGTTGAGTGTGGAAGCTCTGAGTCATCAGACATGATTAAAGAAGAATTGCTTGAGTCTGAGTCTGACAAAATAGAGCACAAGAGCCCTCCATTATCAGCAGAATCCAGCAGCAGTGAGAATGATCAGTTATCTACAACAGAATAAGATGATCAAGCATTTTAAACCTCTAACTACATTCTAGATCCAGCACCACTGCTAATGCCTTCAGGCCTGTCCAGCCCCAGTACACCAGAGCCAAGATCAGACTATGGACTCTTCCTGCCCACAAATACAGTGGAATCAACAGAAGAAGATAATATACTTGCACAGAAGCTGGTGACACAGCTGCAGACCCATCATGGGTGCTCTACTGAGGCTCATGCTGCATCAGAGCTGCTCTTCATGCTGACAGTGTCTCTCTCACAGATGGCAAGCTGGGAATGTCCAGATATCTTAGAGCATGCCAGCATGTCTTCCTATCCCATACAGTGGGACACCATCCTGCCAGTTCATCAGTACCAAAGGCTATACAGTAGGATGTGCATATCAGTGAAGCCTTTAGCCCATGAGAAAGTACCTCCACACCCCACAACCATTGATCTGGAAGGTGATACCATTCTGATGCCAGCATCCCTGCATGCCATGATTGACATTGATAGTGCTGGTGGTCTGGCCTCAAGTCTTGCAGTGGCCTGTGAGGGGTTCCAATAGAAAGTAAACCAGTCTCTGACAAGCAATCTGAAGAGTTCTCTTCACCTGAATCTCATTTCAGTCCAGTGGAGAGATGAGTAGACTGAAAGAGTTCACCAGTTCCAGAGACCAGTTCACCAGATCCCTCACCTTCTGTTTGAATAACTGGTTAGATTTTCTGAGATTAAGATCTACATTCTCTTTCCCCAGCTTTTCAGCTTCCAGTGCCAGCACCACATCATTACAGAGCAGAAGTATGCTCTCTGAACAGACAAGATCTTTGTTCTGGCTCTCTATCATGTTTACTCTGCATCCACACTTCTCCACCTGTCATTCAGTGCCACACATATCCAGCTCAGTTCCACTACAGCTTGGGCAGAAGGCCACAATCAGACTTTCTATAAGCAGCTACAAGTGCAGGAGTTCCACTTTTCACTACAGCCAGCAGGACTTCATCATTTCTGAAAGTGTGTGCAGACAACCATTCAAGATCCAGAGCTTTAGTACTTTCAGAAATTCATGCTTCTTCTGACTGCTAAGAATCTGAAGCTCTTAACCCAGCATGTCATCTGGTCTGGCATGCATGATGTCTTCTTTCACATATGGAATTGGGCTGTGGACAGGCACTATCTGATCACCAGCTTCTACAATATTAGCAAGAAGATGGTCTCACCCTGAAGCTTCCTGTTGCACCAGAAGCCAATATATATGCTCTGCATGTTCATCTGATAATATTGCTGCCTAAATTATTTCTGTGAATGGCTGAGAGATTTGCCAGCTGCATAAAGAATCTCTTCTTCCACTTCATCTGAGCCTGATAGCTCACTGGACAATTCAATAAAGATGCAGATTAACAATGATCACCCAGCAGCAGCTGTCCAGCTCCAACAGTCCCACCAACTTTATAACCATGTCCAGCAAAGAGTGACATTCAAGGCCTCAGACTCCAGCCATGTCCAACACCAGTCAGTGAAGCCAGCATGTGAGAGTGAGGATGAAGATGTATACCAGTCAGAGCTCAGTAAGGGCAGTAAAGATGAAGATGAAGAGAGTATCAGTAATTTGGGTGAACATTCAGCAGGTGGTACACCAGTTGCTGATGCCCAGACTTCTGATTCAGAATATAAATGTTCACAGGAAGAATTCTGGCACAAGCAGTTTTATCTGCTGTTATTTCTGCATAATCTGGAGTCCATAATGCTAGAGTCACACTGGTGCTCCCCACTTCACCACCAGGGTCTGCTTTACTGCCAGTTCTACAACATCATTAAGGAGGTCTTTGCAGCTGGCCAGCATTTCCCATTTGCAAATGAGAACCTGGACATGTTGGCTCTGGATTCTGGGCTGGTACAGACCTGGCAGCATATTAAAAAGGCCATCAGCCATTCCTCTCTGGCCTTGCTGCACATATACATCCACATCAAGCAACAGTGCCATGTTGCCATTTCTGACTGCCACCAGCAGTCCTACAGAACTTGAGAGAAGTACCAGATCACTGCTGCTGTTCTGCAGGCCATGGACTAAATTCTCTGGAAAAGTGATCTAGCCAATTATTCTACAGTTGTGCCCCAATGTCCAGTGCTCTTTCTCAACTATTACACCAACCAGCTTCTGGGGTGGCTGCAGTGGAACATCAACAAGCTGTGCACTGGGTTTGAGATGATCTACAGCCTGCAGCTGTGCACTGTAGTGCACTGGAAACACATTTAAGTAATAATGATGTTTCTTCAATGCCTTCTGTGCATGTATGAAGGCCAGAGCAACCACCTCTGCTGTAGTAATGGCCTGTGGCTCAATCACCAGATGCAACTGCCTCCAGAGGGTTCTGACACAGAGCAGATTCAGAAGAGTCTTGGAATGGCATCCACACTGGAGCTGTATGGCTATACCTGGTTTCTTGACAAGCTTGACTGAATGGCCATGACATTCAAGCCATCATATCAGATGCACATGGTCTTCAACACTCCAACCCTACAGATGACCTATCACCAGCAGTACCAGCAACTGATCAAGTCCAAGTCTGACTTTGTGCTCTTTCATGATGTATTCAGCTGCATGTTGGATATTCATCTAGATTCTGCCTGCTCTGTACTGCTGCTGCAGCTGCTGGTAACCCTCTGTCTGAGAGCCTTCCAGAAGAATGTCTTCAGAAGTCTGGCTGACTGTATCACTCAACAGCCACTTCATTTCACTAGACTTGAGAATGTGTGCAATGGTGAAATCCCACTCACCTGTGCTGGTATCTCACAAATCTTTCAACATTCCCACTTTTGAGAAGATATTCAGTTCATCACAGGCTCCAGAATGAAAGTCAGAAACATTGAGATGCTCTTTATATAGCTCTGGGGCTGGAACAGCAATGAGAATGACAACTGGCTGTATAAACACTGAAAGTCAAAGCAGTACTGGATTCTCTTCCATCAGTCTTTTAATGTCATTGTCAGCATGTACAGAACTTAGCAGGCCTGTAAGTGACAGACAATTATGAAGCAGATCTTCATCTGCAGCCACTGGATCTTGCCCTATTCAAGCACAGTGGTCTTCTGGACACATGAAAAGAGAGGGAAACTGTGAAGCTGGGCTAGCACCCATCCAGAACTGATCAACTACCTTCAGCAGTACCAGCCAGAACTCACCATTATTGAGCTGGACATGATTAATGAGCTGCCCCTGGCAGATTGGAAGGCTGGTGGTTAATCTTTGCCTCTGAATGTGGCTCTTTCCTCAGTCCCCAGTAATCTTGATGCCTGGCTTGCCATTGAACAGAGTCAATATTCTGTTCCTGCAGCAATATCTTTCAACCCAGAAGTCTTTTTGCTGGCTGCTGGTGTGCATTCCAGTGAGCTGAGCTGCCATCTTCAGACTACTGTAACTGAACATCATGTCCTATGCTCATTCACACAGAAAGAGGGTGAATCTGCAAGCCAGCTGCATATCAATCACAAGTGGCTTACATTCCAGCTTGTGTTTCATATTCAGATTCTTGTTGAGACAGAGAGACAGCAGATCCAGAGCATGAATCTTTCAAGAGTAACTCAATCTTGACAGTCTTGCCCTCAGCTCCAGCCCAACAGCAATCTGACACTGCTTGGGCCCAGAGTGACCAGAATGAATCTTGAAGAGAATTCTGACCCAGAAAGTCTGGTGAGAAAGCAGAAAAAACATGCATGATATCAGAGATATATGCAGCAGCAGTTGAAAGTTGTACAGATAGAGGTCTTCTATTACAATCAGTACAGAACTGCCATGAAGGCATATCAGTATAAAGCTGCAGAAAGAGACCAAACAGCACAAGTGCTCAATCAGTCTGAGTTTGAGAAAGCATAAGTACAAAGTTAAAAGGCCATTGAGCATTTAGCTCAAGTGTCTCAGCAGATCACTCATCATGGAAAAGGAAAAGTATAGTTGTGACAGCACTGGCTTCTTAAGTCAGTTTTGACTGTCAATTTTAGTGACAATTTTCCCTGTCAATTTTCACCATCAATTTTAGTTGTTAATTTTTGACTGTGAAATTTTACTGTTATCAATTTTGACTGTCAATTTTTACCATTGTCAATTTTTACTGTTAATTTTAGCTGTTGTCAATTTTTACTGTTAATTTTAGCTGTTGTCAATTTTTACTGTCAATTTTCACTGTCAATTTTTGCCATCAATTTTGACTGTCATCAATTTTTACTGTCAATTTTGGCCATCATCAATTTTGACCAACAAATTTAGCATCATCAATTTTGGTGTCATCAATGTTTACTGTCAATTTTGACCATTGTCAATTTTGGTCCTCAATTTTGGTGTTGTCAATTTTGACCATCAATTTTGACTGTCAATTTTGGCTGTCAATTTTGACATCATCAATTTTGGCATTGTCAATTTTGGTGTCATCAATTTTGACCATCAATTTTGGCATTGTCAATTTTGGTGTCATCAATTTTGGCGTCATCAATTTTGACTGTCAATTTTGACCATCAATTTTTACTGTCAATTTTGGTGTCATCAATTTTGACTGTCAATTTTGGCCATCAATTTTGGCATTGTCAATTTTGACCGTTGTCAATTTTTACTGTCAATTTTGGCTGTCAATTTTGGCGTCGTCAATTTTGACCGTTGTCAATTTTTACTGTCAATTTTGGCTGTCAATTTTGGCGTCATCAATTTTGACCGTTGTCAATTTTTACTGTCAATTTTGACCATCAATTTTTACTGTCAATTTTGGTGTCATCAATTTTGACTGTCAATTTTGGCCATCAATTTTGGCATTGTCAATTTTGACCGTTGTCAATTTTTACTGTCAATTTTGACCATCAATTTTTACTGTCAATTTTGGTGTCATCAATTTTGACTGTCAATTTTGGCCATCAATTTTGGCATTGTCAATTTTGACCGTTGTCAATTTTTACTGTCAATTTTGGCTGTCAACTTTGACCATCGTCAATTTTTACTGTCAATTTTAGCTGTCAATTTTGGCGTTGTCAATTTTGACCGTTGTCAATTTTGGTGTCATCAATTTTGACTGTCAATTTTGGCATTGTCAATTTTGGCGTCGTCAATTTTGACTGTTGTCAAATTTGGTGTTGTCAATTTTGACTGTCAATTTTGGCATTGTCAATTTTGACTGTCAATTTTTACTGTCAATTTTGGTGTCATCAATTTTGACTGTCAATTTTGGCTGTCAATTTTGGCTGTCAATTTTGGCATTGTCAACTTTGACCATCATCAATTTTTACTGTTAATTTTGACTGTCAATTTTGGCTGTCAATTTTGGCTGTCAATTTTGGCTGTCAATTTTGGCGTCATCAATTTTGACTGTCATCAATTTTGGTGTTGTCAATTTTGACTGTTGTCAATTTTTACTGTTAATTTTGGCTGTCAATTTTGGCGTTGTCAATTTTGACTGTTGTCAATTTTGGTGTTGTCAATTTTGACTGTCAATTTTTACTGTCAATTTTGGTGTCATCAATTTTGACTGTCAATTTTGGCTGTCAATTTTGGCTGTCAATTTTGGCATTGTCAACTTTGACCATTGTCAATTGTTACTGTCAATTTTGACTGTCAATTTTGGCTGTCAATTTTGGCTGTCAATTTTGGCTGTCAATTTTTACTGTCAATTTTGGTGTCATCAATTTTGACTGTCAATTTTGGCCGTCAATTTTGACTGTCAATTTTGGCACTGTCAATTTTGAC